CATGTCGGTATACGAACCTTCACTTGAGTGGTCAGATTGGTCAACGGAAGAAGATTGTCTGTAACTAATATCGCAGAAATTTGTACAAGGAAATCATAAGAAAATAAATGTCTCACGATTTGTCTCCAGCAGGCCCATCACGAATGATATACTGCACCGGCGCACTTGGCCGCACCCGAGACTCCCAATCCGACATCTCACCTGAAAGTCTGGTCATTTGAAAAACTCAGAAGCAAATTTCCAAAATCCTTTGTTCTATAGTCTGTGCAACTGACCTCCCAGTATTCTAGGTATGTATCCTCGAAGGGCTGGAGGAATGAATTCATCAATATGTTCCATCATTTCAGGATTCAAGGCATTGTGTTCCAGACCATATGAATAACCGAGACGTTTCAATGCCTTCAATGCACATCTATTCGAATGTGTAGTAGAGATCACGCAGAGCTTTTTTGCGTCCAAACTAGCAACAAAAGCAACTGTAAGGCGCAACTAACAGGAGTGTTTGATAGGAAAACAGAGATAGGAAACGTGGTGAAAACCACCGCCTTTCGCAAAAGATCCTTCGTTACGGCTTCAACTCATACAGTGCGGAATTAGGACACCCCCTCGCCCCCCCTCTTCCCCAAAAAGAGTATCTACACTTCTAGAGAGCGCCATCCATTGCAACCCGTAGAATCAGAACCGTCTTCGTAAGAAAACTACTCTCTCAAATCACAAGATCATCCTATTTTTTCACATTTTTTCGACAAATTTTTTATTTTTAGAGCCGGTGCAAAATCACTGGACACCGCTCTTTCGAAGCCTTAGACATACTTAAATTCGCCGGTTTGTATTGATTTGGTGTTCCAAAGGGAACCGCTAAGCAGAACGACATCCAAACGAGAAGGAATGATATACGCAATCTTATACTTATTTAAATCACAATGGTGTCCATCAGTTGGGATCCATTGCTTACTCTTTGAAATTGTGTTGATCTTGTGAGTATTCGCATAGCCATTGCTGACAAAGGTTCTCCAAGTGAGTCTCGACAAACTTCAGGAGCGCACCCTACGCTGTCCGCTATTGAATTCACGAAGTTTGTTTGTAACCACTGTGGCTCATTGGAGCCTTCGCATGACAAGGAGTGTTACTTGTCAAGAAAGTAATGTCTCACGCGAAATCCATTAAAGAGAAGCAGCAGTTGGTTTTCTGCGCCTTTCCTGCTCTCTAGTAAACTCATTCCAGTGTCGAAAAACTTCAGGTTTGGGACTCAGGCTGAGGTTACCCCCTCACATCTTTAGGAAACTACAAACATTTCGTTGAAAGGATTTCGTCGAAGTCCTGACCTGTACGAAGCCCAGCCTTGACCCAGACTTTCGTTAAATTCTCTTCCCTGATTTCAGTCAGAACGCCTAACGAGCATGGCAGCACGCTTTGCAGGACCCTACGCTAGTTGTCCATATCAGTGATTTTGCCGATTTCTTTTTATCCGCCTTCTGCCGTAGAGCTGACACAGGTTGAGCGTGCATGGTGATTTTGTTTCGATGTAATCTTCGAGGTTATAGCTAATCCTTTTGGGGAGCTTCTGCGGTTTATCCTGGTGCTCTCTTATTTCTATTCGTAGTAAGAGTTTAGAGTACCAAGCTCGCGCCATCAGGCGCGTATAAAAACAACATCTTGCTTTCACACGCGGAGAAGAGAAGAGCAACTCAAACCGTAATTCAGTAGAGTTGCCATACACCGAATAAGCGCTACTATCGTTGCTGGGTGGATCAACAGCCAGAAGAATACTGTAAAGGATGGGAAGGTAAAATCATTGATCTGTTCATTCAACCATTTGATTTCAAATGTTTTAGGTCAGCAGGGAGCGATGGAGCGTGCCAAGCCCTGACTCATGGAATCAGTATACTTTGTGAACTCTCAAGATTGTTTTTGTTCGGGCCTCTTTCTCGGTTTCTCTTTTTCAGGCGATGAAACGGAGATAGCGATGGGACCCGAATAAAAGCCGTGGACGGGACGATTCAAGGCTCTTGGCTCGACCACGACGACTGAGGACGAGAGGATTCGCCT